AAAATAAATTAATGAGACAAACTAAAAAAATCAAGCATATTTTTTTAGATTAAAGGTTTTCAATAATTTACAAATTAAAATAAAAAAACTATACATTAATGTTCATTCAAAGAATGATAAAAATCATGATTAATGTATTTATAATTTTCTGATATTTATTACAATTAATTCCTATTTAAAAAAATTAAAGAAATAATTATTATTAGAAAAATATATATTTTTATTTAATTACAATTTATAAAACAATAAATAATTAATATTATCAATTAATTTTTTTTCATAAGAGTATTATCAATTAATTACCATTAATAAAACTCCACCAATTTTTCTGACTCCTAGTCACCATTTTCTCTCACCTACATAACTCTCCAATTGTGAGGTGTGTGATAGGGTATCCCAATGTTTAATACGTTAGAGCATTATTTTTCCCAAAATTTTAGGGATTAATTGGGAAAGTGAGTTTAGGGGGTGTGACTAGAGATGCCCTTACAAAATGGCGAAGTAGGGGAATGGACCAGGATTTGAACTCTAGTTCTCTACTCTAATAGTAGAGACGAGGTACTAACTTTCAAAATTTTGGAGAAGAGGAAAAGTAAAATGAAGAAAAGAAAAAAAAAGAATTCACATAATCTAATCAGCACTGTTTGCGCATAAAATTAATTAATTTGTTAATTAAATTAGCCAATTAAATTATGTCTAAATTAAATTATAACTTATCTTGCAAGACAAGTCATGGGGATAATTATTAATTAATTATTGGCCAATAGGATTATTTCTTCTCTTCCAAGTTATAAGAGATAAATATCAATTTAAAGAGAGCCAATCAAATCGCGCCACGTCATCAAGTAGACTTTAAGTAGGACTCTTATTCTACCACTATAAATAGGGACCCTCCCTACACAATTCAAAACAGAACTCAAGAAGAAGAAAAATCGTAGGAGAAAATTCTCTCTACAATATTCAAGTCGTTCTTCAACAAATTCAAGGCGTTCTTCATCAAACATCAAATCGAGGGCGTTCTTCAACAAATCAAGATCGAAAACATCAAATTGAGGGCGTTCTTCAACAAATCAAGATCGAAGGAAAATTGAAGGGCCAAATCCATCAAGAACTCCAAGATCTTCAAGTCAAAACCCATCAAAGTTCAACAAATCAAGATCGAAGGAAGATTGAAGGGCCAAATCCATCAAGAACCCCAAGATCTTCAAGTCAAAACCCGTCAAAGTTCAACGTTCGACACGAGATTCAAGTTGCAAGACCCTCAGAAGACATTATTCAAATCCAAATAAAATCCGGAGAAGATCAAGTCAACGACCCGACTCCGAAATTCAAAGTCAAACGCATATTCTTCTTGAGAGAAGAATCAGAGGATTAAATTAGAGTTTGTAACCCGCAATATTTTATTTTAATTCAATAAATTATTTGTGTGCAAGTTTTTCTTGTTTGTCTAAATCGCAGATAAGAATTTTGTTGTTACAAATTTTGGCACGCCCGGTGGGACATCTCTACCTCTCATCTCTTCTCTCTCTCGAAGATCGTCAAAGTGTTGCACTGACTGCTCTGCGTTCGCAATCAAGACTGCTACTTCGGATTCATCAAGTATAGGCTTAGTTACAAGGAGTATGGCTAAGAAGCTGCAAGCATCCTCCAAGACTAGCTCGACGCCCCAAACCGTTCAAAAAGGCTTACCACCTCTTGTCAACACAAGCGCAGACGTGGAAGGCTCAAAACGAGAGATTTCACAGCTCATGCCTCATTCAACATCAAGCTACTCAGAGATGGCATCCGTCATGACAACAAACGCTACAACTATGGAAGAAGCATCCTCCAAGACTAGCTCGACACCCCAAACCGTTCAGAAAGGCTTACCACCTCTTGTCAACACAAGCGCAGACGTGGAAGGCTCAAAACGAGAGATGTCACAGCCCATGTCTCATTCAACATCAAGCTACTCAGAGATGGCATCCGTCATGACAACAAACGCTACAACTATGGAAGAGCAAATTGCAAGTTTGACCAAGGCTATTGAGGGACTCACAAAGCATGTTCAACAACGAGATTCTCAAATTGCCAAGTTGATCGAGAAGATGAACATAGCCGATGCTAGTCAAATTGTGGAACAGATAGAGACTCAAGACGAAGTCGAGGCATCCACAAAGCAACAGCCAGTTGAAAACGAGAAGGCTCCAGCTCAAGATTTTCAAGTTTCTCCAGAAGGGATGATTCATGTAGATCAAGTGATGACGCTGATCAGTGGAACCATCAAAGACAAGTTGGAACGAGGCTCGAAGTCTCCATCAACCTATGTCAAGCCATACACGCAAAGGATCGATGACCTAAGGATGCCAATGGGCTACATACCTCCAAAGTTTCAACAATTTGACGGCAAAGGCAACCTCAAGCAACATGTGGCACACTTCGTCGAGACTTGCAATGATGCCGGGACGTGCGGAGATCACCCCGTCAAGCAATTCGTCTGATCGCTCAAAGACAACGCGTTTGATTGGTACATTAATTTGGGGGCAAACTCCATTGATAGTTGGAAGCACTTGGAGGAAGAATTTCTCAACCGCTTTTACAGCACTCGAAGAACAGTCAGCATGATTGAGCTCACCAATTCCCGCCAATGGAAGAAGGAACCTGTCATCCACTACATCAACCGTTGGAGAAATTTGAGTCTTAATTGCAAGGATCGACTGCCTGAGACATCAGCTATTGAACTGTGCATCCAAGGAATGCAATGGGGACTCCGATATATCCTTCAAGGGATTCAACCTAAAAGTTTTGAAGAGTTGGCCACTCGAGCACATGACATGGAATTGAGCATAACTGCAAATGAAGTCGAAGAACCTTCATTCCAAAAGTCGTATCAGCTCAAAGAAGAACATGTTGAAGAAGAACAAGAAGATCATGAGGATGGGGGCAAGTTTTTTGAAGAAACAACATCCTATGCAATATGACAAGTCAAATCAACTGAAGCACTCCTTGACGCGAGTTTAGAAGGTCTACATGTCCAAATCAAATGAAATACTCCTTGACACGAGTTTAAAAGGTTTACATGTCCAAATCAAACGAAGCACTCCTTGACATGAGTTTAGAAGGTCTACATGTCCAAATTGAATGAAACACTCCTTGACACGAGATTAAAATGTCTACATGTCCGAATCAAATGAAATACTCATTAACACGAGTTTAAAAGGTCTACGAGTTCAAATAAAATCAAAGCTCCTTGATACGAGCATAAATTATCTATATATCCAAGTCAAATCAAGACTCCTTGATACGAGCATAAACTATCTACATATCCAAATCAAATCAAGGCTCCTCGATACGAGCATAAACTATCTATATATTTAAATCAAGTCAAGACTCTTTGATACGAGCATAAACTATCTACAAATCCAAGTCAAATCAAGGCTCCTCGATACGAGCATAAACTATCTATATATTCAAATCAAGTCAAGGCTCTTTGATACGAGCATAAACTATCTACAAATCCAAGTCAAATACTCTTTCAGCACAAGTTTAAACTGCAAATGTTTCTCCTTGTCCACATGAGTATAAACTGTGCACGACATCCCTCAAAAGGATATATTTTGAACTACGTTATGACTTGATCCCTCTATAGGGTACGTAGGCAACTTAGAATCTCTCTAAGTTCAGTCATGATTTCAAAAGATGTATGTGCTTTGCTAGATCAAGCTGCAATTGAAGTTAAGCAATTATCGAGACTCATTCACTCCAAGACGCATTGTCCGTGAACAAGTCTCGAGAGGGCATTTGTAGACGCATAAAATTAATTAATTGGTTAATTAAATTAGCCAATTAAATTATGTCTAAATTAAATTATACCTTGTCTTGCAAGACAAGTCATGGGGATAATTATTAATTAATTATTCGCCAATATGATTATTTCTTCTCTTCCAAGTTATAAGAGATAAATATCAATTTAAAGAGAGCCAATCAAATCGCGCCACGTCATCAAGTAGACTTTAAGTAGGACTCTTATTCTACCACTATAAATAGGGACCCTCCCTACACAATTCAAAACAGAACTCAAGAAGAAGAAAATCGTAGGAGAAAATTCTCTCTACAATATTCAAGTCGTTCTTCAACAAATTCAAGGCGTTCTTCATCAAACATCAAATTGAGGGCGTTCTTCAACAAATCAAGATCGAAAACATCAAATTGAGGGCGTTCTTCAACAAATCAAGATCGAAGGAAAATTGAAGGGCCAAATCCATCAAGAACTCCAAGATCTTCAAGTCAAAACCCATCAAAGTTCAACAAATCAAGATCGAAGGAAGATTGAAGGGCCAAATCTATCAAGAACCCCAAGATCTTCAAGTCAAAACCCGTCAAAACGAGATTCAAGTTGCAAGACCCTCGGAAGACATTATTCAAATCCAAATAAAATCCGGAGAAGATCAAGTCAAACTCCGAAATTCAAAGTCAAACGCATATTCTTCTCTTCTTGAGAGAAGAATCAGAGGATTAAATTAGAGTTTGTAACCCGCAATATTTTATTTTAATTCAATAAATTATTTTTGTGCAAGTTTTTCTTTGTCTAAATCGCAGATAAGAATTTTGTTGTTACAAGCACATTCAGAAAAATTCCGATTCTTTTCGAAAGACAGCCTAATTCAAAAAGAAAATCGGCGAAACCGGGAATCGGAATTTGAAAAATTCTAAATTTTAATCACCTAACATATAAATGTATAAATAATATTGATATTATAAATAATTTATTTATTTTTTCTGAAAAACTCCGGAAAATTCGTAGTTTATTTCCGAAATTAAAATCGGATCAAAATCGAAATTCCATATATATTCCAATTTCGATTAAAGAAAATCAAAATCAGAATTTTCAAAATTCAGAATGAAATACACTATTCCAAAATCATAAAAAAAAATCGAATTGAAATCGGATTTTCCGTCCCAATTTCCATGCTTAGTATGCATCTAACAAGAGACAAGAGATGGCATCATAGAACAAACATTTACAACTAATAATACACTTTATTTATCTAGTTTTTGCATAAAATTCTCAATTCCAATAATATATTTTTCAAGTTTAATAATAATAATAATAATAATAATAATAATAATAATAATAATAATAATAATAATAATAAAATGGGGTTCACAATTTTGATACCGCCGCCGGATCCACATTCCCGCCGGAGAAATCCCCCACCGTCTCGTCGGAGGCAAGCGCCGCCAACACATCGGAAAAAACAGCCCTCCGATTGCCGGCATATATTTCTCCGTCCCATTTCCTGCCAACCAAATCCATTCCCAATCCAACCGCCGCCTCCACAGTCTCGGCGGCGCTCTCGTGTGCCGAATCGACAATTCCCCACTCCACACCCTTCGCCGCCGTGATTTTCGCCGCCGTCAGAACCACGCTCCTCCAGATCAACGGAGATGCGATCCTGTTCTTCACCACCGTCACGAACCAATTGGGGATTTTGTACTTGATGTCGAGCTCGCTCATGTACAGAAACCCTCGGTCCTTCCGCATGAGGAGGTAGTCGTGGCTCAGGGCGAGGATGAATCCGGCGGCGGAGGCGTGGCCGGTGACGGCGGCGATGGTCGGCATGGGGAGGGAGATGAGTTCCTCGACCAGGAGGCGGAGTTTCCTGGACATCTCCTTGGACCGGACTCCGGTTCGCTTCCGAACCGGGTCCGGGTCTGAACCGGACCACGAAAGGTCGTACCCGTTTGAGAAGAACTTACCCTCGGATGTGGTGATGAGCGCAGTCGGGCCCGTTGACTCGGATTCGGACTTGGCCCGGTTGAGGGCGGCCCGGATCGAGTCGATTAGGGTCGGGTTCAGGCGGTGTTCATCGTCGCCGGTGATTGTGAGGATGAATAGATCGCCGCGTTTCTCTAGACTGCACATCCTAATTCCGGTTCGTCACACAGTGCACACAGTGAAAGTGTGTGGGCTGTGAGGAAGGAGGAGAGAGAGGAGAGAGAAACTAAAGAAATGGTCAAAAAAGAAATTAAAATTAGATTTATATTTACACAAAATTATGTGCAAGTATAAATGATAAAAATTAAATCATCTACAAACACTAGTGTGGTCACATGATGCGGAAACAACGATACGGGAAATTATTCCTGGTGAAATACACCTTATAGTTTATACATTAAGTTGCACGGATACGAAAACGACAATAAATGGGGAAACGGGTACGGGAACTTGGGGGAAATGTTGTAAATATTAAAATATAGATGTATATTAGTAAATATTTTATATATACATATATAAGTTTTTTTTTATTATTTGGAAATTCTTTTTATACAAACATATATAAAATAAATTTTACTATCAATTTGCAATTGGTCATTAAATCATGTAAATAATTTGAGAAACAATTAAAATATTTGAAAAAATACTATACAAAAATGTTTCTATTTTGTTAGAAATTGCAAAATAGCTCATAAGGTATCCGGCAGGTGTCTTCGAGTTTCCGACACGAAACGTTTCTGAAACGAGGAAACGTTAAGAAGTTGAAGTTTCTGTGCTACATAGGTTTTACACCATTGATTAACACATAATAACACACACAAACACGTGCATGGGCGGACCCTGAGGCTTTTAGTTGGTGGAGCCAAAATATAGTGGTGAATAAAGAGAAGGAAAAAAAATATTTTTTACGGGTTAGAAGTGTATAAATTTTAAATTTTAGGGGGGGCAAAATCTATAAATTAATAGATAAATACTAAAATGCAACTAAAAAAGTAATTAGGTGAAAAAGAAAATTCTGATAAACAGTGGTGTATTTCTTCTAAAAATTGTAGAATTTACATTAATTCTTCTTTCTTCCATTCAGGAGGGGGGCCACCGCCCCCACCCCAAAAGAAAACCTCGCGACTTCGCTGAATTAAGTTCAAAATATATCGGACGAACTTAGAACATAAGGCAAACCGTACAGAAGTTCAAAATTAATTCATAATGTGAAACCCATATATTATGAAAGATCGATAAGCCAGAATGAAAACTGTTACATAAATTTACAACAATACCCCTACAGGTTACAAAATAAAAAACGGATATCAGAATAACTTAGTATAGATCTCGAGTTCCAAAACAACGATCCCGTTAAATTATGTTGTTCCAACCAATCTCCTACAACTACAAAGCTGTGATTTCAGTTTCATTCCTCAAAAATCAGAAGGGAGGGTAAATTCACTTTATCTCAGAATAGAGTAAGTAATGAACTCGTTCGAAGTGAACTGAAACGGCTGTCTTGGAATAGGATTCCTACAATAAACAAGTAAATTACATCATTAATTGCAATTTAGCAAATCACTCGTAAAAATGGTAAACAGAGGAAGAATTTCAACTCACGGTCGAGGCCCGTAAACTTTGATTTGGCGCACATGCGTATCTCTCCCGTTTAGATGATTGGACAAGATAGCAATTTGTAACATGAACGTATTCACAAAGGTTTCCCTGAGTCATATTGAAGGATTGTCAACCAATCTATTTCCAACGAATACAAAATAAATTTATTCGACTAATATCCAATTTTAATAACTGATTTTAAAGGTGGAACGGACATTAATAAATACTCGAATCATTAAACCAAACTAAGAAGGATAAGTTGCTGACCTCGGATCAGTCCCAGACAACGATATATACACCCAACCAGTTGGTTTAACGAGCTCCACTGCCTTTATCTCCTGAAAAGTCGGTGCAATCAGAAGCCAAATCAAGATTTACTCGTATAATCTTTGATAGGTTTATAGCTACCACCATTAATACCGAAACATGATTAATATAAGGGTAAATTACGGCTACCTTATGAGGTAAGGTCAAATTACGAATAAACACCTTATGTTTGATTAATTACAACCACCCATCAACTATGAATCTTCTTACACGTACACCATTATGGCGTCAAATTCAACAGAATTGTCTAGTTTGTACTCGTTTTATGCCAATATACAGTTTCTAATGCACCACAGTATGATATTTACAAGCCAAAAGACACATCTTACGATCATCTTGATTCAAAATGTAAAGCTCGAATGAGGTAAAAAAACGAGTACAAACTGGAGAATATTTCACATAATCTAAGAGATTCCACCAAATTTGACACTGCAAGCGTGGACGTGTAAGAAGATTCATAGTTGATGGGTTGTTGTAATTACCCAAACATGAGGGGGGTTTTCGTAATTTGACCTGACCGTAATTTACGCTTAATATAATCTACCACCCTACGAGCATCACAGATACGAAAATAAAAAACCATTTTTTCTATATAAAAAAAAATGTATACAGAGAATAAATTAGTACCTTCAAGTTGTGGAAACCATCACCGGCTCGAATCGAGATCTTACTAGGTGTGTAGCTCTCGTCAAGCTTGAAATCGACATACAAAACAACTAATTGAAGTCTAACTTTCTTCTGGAACTGGATATTGACTAGATGAGGCTGTGCACCATCTGACCTAAATATCCCACCCAAAAAAATCAAAAAAAATTGGAATTAATTAGAATTTTTTTTTCCATACCGATTCGAAAAATTTCAATTTGAAAGCGATATCGTACACAGATTCATCGAAAAAAAAAGGTGAATAGAGTGAAGGGGAGAGTGTACGCACTGCCAGTAAGAATCGAGATTGTCGTCACGGATAGATGCGACGCCGTTTCCGGGTTTGCAGGAGCTGACACTCCAAGCGGCTTTCTTCGCCATTTCACGGAGCTCTTCGTCCACCGCCAGCTGCTGGTTTCCGCCGCTCAGCTTCCCCTCCTCCTCCCCCTCCGACGAGTCCGCCATTTTACACCGCCAGCAATTGCTCTGGTTTTGGGGCGGGGGATAAACCCTAATTTCAACCGTTAATCATGTAGTAGTAATTGATTAATTTTTGAAAATCGAAATTCAGATAACTATTGTTGGATCGAGTAAAAAGGGGGGGAAATTGTGTGTGTATCAAATTAGACTCCTATTTTTTTTTCTTATTGGGCCAAAATTTGCTATTGCTTCCTTTTCTGCCCCATTTTTCTATTATATTTTTTTTTTTTTTAAATATAGCGAGTCGAGTCCAATTGAAGCCAGCGTATGGTTGTTCAAACTTGTTTGAATGTCTATCGAGGTTTTTTTTTTAAAGAAAAAAATGAGTTTGATTTGATAAGAATCGAGCCGAGCTCAAACAAGCTTTAATCGAGCTGATATCTTGATATTTTTTTTACATTTTTTATTATTTTTTAGTATTTTTCTTCTTCTTTTATATAATACAATTTAGGGCTAATTTCACTCACCTCCCCAGTACTAAATTGGGGAGCATTTACTTACATTTCCTCTATGATAAAATTCTTCAATTACCCCCTAGATTGCATGTTAGACCATCTTCAATGATCATGGGGTGGGTAGGGGTGGGGAGACAAAACCACCTCCAATGAATGTGGGTAATGGGGGGTGGGTATGGGTTGAGTATGGGTGGGGAGAAGGGGAGATTTGTTCGACCCTACACCCGGTGAAAAATACCGGGTGGGTCTTCTGCTGTCATGTGTCTTTTTTTTGTATTTTATAATAAATTCCTCGCTAGGATTTACCTTTAGGGGTTTTAGAAAAATAAAAACAAGAACACGTGGCAGCAGAAGACCCACCCAATATTTTTCACCAGGTGTAGGGTCGAAAGGAACCAGAAGGGGGAGGGGGGACTTTAGCTTGAGCTGCCCCCTTCCAACTCACGTGCTGGAAAGGGGGGCGCGTGTTTTACTCGCCCATTTTCCTTTTTTTTTTTTTTCTTTTTTTTTTGGAAAAAACGA